TACAGCATCATTGTCCTTAATCAGGAAGCAGACTATTTGCAATTTCTGAATTTTAGATATACGACGCATTTCACACTGTCCCAGACTCTAGTGATACCACTCTTTAATGGAGGACACTTTCACTCATCACATCTAGAATCACAAATTCAAAGAGGAGCTTGTTCAGAAATCCTCCCAATGCCCAGTTACTAAACTGACATAAAGACTTAAGAAGATACTTAAGTACCCAGGACAAAGGCTGACATATTCCAAATAATTATCTTAATTACTGTTTAAGGTACAGCAAACTATGTAGACATAATGCTTATCCAGTAGATATTCAATACATAAATATTATGGTCTCAGAAATATATCTTCTGACTCTTTAAAAATCTTGCTGACCATATGTATTCATAAAGTCTAAAATGGAATTTTTGAAAAAAAAAAAAATAGCTGGCCTAAGTCTTTCTGAAAGTTAAACCCATCTTTTTCTACTTGGATATCCCTGTAATTTCAAATAGCTGTTCTTTGGTGTCTGTAATAGAAGAAACATACTGCCAGAAATGTAATCAGAAAGTCTCCCCTGTTCTGGTGAATAAATGAGAGGTAGCTTGATGTTACTAAATAAAAAACTAAAGCTGACACTTTCTAAGTTTATTTTACAAAAGTTAACTTCTGGTTTTGAAGCCCAAAACACATGATAAAAAACCCTTTTGCAATTGGCTGTGTCATTACTAATTTAAATTATTTACTCTCTACGAGGACAGAAAAACCTACCCTTGACCAGCTGGCAATGCCCTAAACCTCACATTTTAAGATCATGGCTATATTCAGGTCCTCATGAAATTCTTTCTGTTCCTCCTGCCATTGCTGGCTTTGCAATCAATATTGATCTCCTGCCTTTTTGATATAAATGCTCATCATACACTTCTCACTACCTTCTTACTTGATGCAAATCTGGTAAGGAACCCAGCATCCAGTTGACTCTCAGGAAGAGCAATAAGGTTGAGAATTCTTCTTTCCTTTTTCTTTTCTTCAGTTTAGGAAATGAACAGTGTAAGGTGTGCTGGCTCACACACATGGGTTAATGGTCTGACCACAAAATACCTGAGAGTATTCTCAGTATGTCAGCTTCAGAAACTGAAAGTTGAATAAGCAGCAATAATGAAGTTTCTTTTCACCCCCCTGCTATCTCTCCTTGTCATTGCCTATGATGACTTCCAAAAGTCAATAGCTTTCTACTACTTCTACTCAAAATGTAAAATGAGGTGTTCACCCTCTTCCCATGGTAGTCCAAAGGGTGGGAGTGGACCACATACCGAAAATAACTTGACAAACTATTACAGCAAACCAGAATTTCTATGGTATGAAACCTGTCAGAAATGAAGCCACGGAATTATTTAACATAAAGAGCTCATTTTCCTTCATTTTAGCAGTAAGATTAAAGGTCTTCCATGAAGGGAAATCCAGGATTCAGAATACTCAGTGTTTTATAACCTGATTTTTTATAGACTCCACCACGCACATGAGCTTTTCATTGACACGTTTGCATCCTTTTATTCCTTATTCCATTTGATATATCTGTTGACCGAAATGCCCTTAATTAACTGCTTTACCTATGTTCTTTCCCTTGTAACACACATTCCAGTTATTTATTTATTGTCAATCAAAAATAAATGGGTTGAAAACTGTGTACGTGGAAAAATGAGAACGGGAGAATACTCACTCTAATTTTAGATCAAAGAGTTTATCAACTCAGAAATAAAATTATCAGAAATATAAATTCTAGTTTGGTTTAAAATACATATACATACATACACCACTGTTTAACTTTTCTGTTGTGTTTAAGAAAATGAAATAAAACATTCAAAATTCTGAGGAAAAAAAATGAAACTATTCAAAAGAGCTATATTTAGGGAGTGTACAGAAAGGTGAAATCTGTAGTCTGTTCAAAAGCTTACTTGGTAGCAACGGTATTAATTTTCATTTGACTCCTCAGAGAAAACAGGAACTAATATTTTGTTCATCTTCATGCTTTAGAAAGAGTTTTCTTGCAACAGGAGACAATACAGCTGCCACCTTGACAGAAGGCAATTAAGTCTCTGCATCTCTGAACAATATCCTCTGCAGGAAAGTACAGCTTCCTTCCACCAAGAGGTATATGATACATATTTATTTGCATGTCAAGAGTAAATTTTTAAAAATCAGCTTTTGCTGAGCAGAGAGAGATGCCTAAATTCACTGGGACCAGAATGGTACTTCCAAAGACGAGGTAAAAGCAATAGCAGCACTTTCAGTTTTGCCTAGAAACAAATGCCCTGGAAAAGAGTACTTATTTTTGCACCATTATATATGGCATATTAAAATAGAATCATGAAAGGACTACAAACTGCTGTGCCTGATAGAATATATAAGCATTTGTAGAGAGGTGTGGGTAAAAAGCAGCACAGGAAAATGAGTCAACAATTGTGGTATAAGGGCCAGAAGAAATTCATCTCCACTTTTCCATACAGAGCAAGAATGGTCGTATCAGCAGTATTCTGGCAGAATTTTCTCATGTGTGAATGGTGAGGGAGAAGGGTAGAAGGCAGCCAATCCTTTCACTCTCATAAACCTCAGGCACCTCAAATAATTCATCTGGACTCTCTGACTGTTTGGACTATATTTTTTACAAACGTTCACAAAGAGGATGTGACCAAGGCATATCGCTTCTACACTGATTAGATGCCAATAACCAGCACGCATGTGGACAAATTTTATTAGGTTGTAGCAATTCTCTACTGTGTCTCAAGGGAACACCTTTCTCTGCAAAAAAACTTCTAACAAACTGCTCATGAGTGCACTGCTACACCACTCTTCTAAAAATTCCACTCGTTACTATAAGACATGAAGTTATAATCTTGACTTTTTAATATGTCAGTTTGCACTTAAAAAACCAAATGAAGTTACACAGTGATCTGTAAGTTGGCAAGATCTACAGACGTATGAGAACTGAGGACCTATGCAAGGGAGAAACACTACGCACCTACGTGCATTTCTCACCAATGGTAGGCTGAAATGGGTGGAGAGGCATCAGGTTTTCATGACCCGTCCAAAGAACTGAGATGGGAGCAACTGTGTTACAGCAAGCTCTTCTACTCATCCTGCAAACTATCTACATTAATAAGACTTCATTTGATGAGTAAATATTATGTGTGATTCAACAGATTAATTCATGATTCTATGGCTTAGTTTTGGAACTTTGTACCTCTTGGTACAGAGTTGTGTCACCTCTTAGTGACACAAGTGGCACTTTGTAGAAAGAAAAAATTCTTCGTGAACTGCAGAAAATGGTAAGTTATGCAGTAAGAGCCTATTCTGACCCATTTTTGGCATTATTTCCTTGAAAATTATCATTGTGACGTGGCAATTAATTTTCATCAGTAGGGTCCTTATTCCTTGCAATTCCATCTTCCACAGGTCAAATTTGGAAACACTTCCTTCAGTGATGCCTTCCTATTTCATGTAATTCATTTCAGCCTTTAGTCCCCATCCTTATTAATCTATTCTTTAATGCCTCTTAATCATTTCTCCTAGCTCTGCTTCTACTGCTGCAGTCAATTGATGCTTTACTGAGCAATAGTCTCCCCCATTTTTCCCATTTTATCTCCCCTTTCATACTTCCATAGTCAAGCTTCATCAACGTTCTTATGTATTGCATTATAAAGCAGTGATTTCTGTAAACTACTCTTCCTCTCATTATTAATCACAGCTGAAGTTGTTTTAGGTTAACGGTTCACCACCAACCACGGACACATGTCAGCACTTGCTTTCATTTTTCCTATACCTTAAAAAATAGTCCTAACATGGCATCTGTTTTTTCAAGTTTTTCTCATTTCTGTGACACTGTCAAAAAGTATCAACCTTAGAAGACAGAAAATTATAAATTAGTTTTATTAGTGCTACATGGATTATTTTTAAAAATGCATTGTGCTAAATTTGCATACAGTTCAGCAAAGGAACTCGAGTCCTGTGAAGGTGCACTGAGTCAAGCTGGGCGTGAATTTGTAACACTATAGAAGGAAGGATGAAAATACAACAGGATCCACAAGTGCTTGCTGTCAAATAAAATGCCATAACAAGAGATGTGAGACTCTTTCATAAAAGACTTTTGAGAAAAAGAAGAGACAGGAAATGTGGCAACAAGCTGAAAAAGTTCTATCTCAAATCCCTGAAGAACAAGTTCTACATTCAAAAGGACTTTAAAATACGTTACAGGTAAAGCAGCTATTTCTTCCCTAATCCTAAAACAATTTGGATTTTGGCAATGGATAGGACATGAGTGAATAGAACATGAACCACAATATAAGTTTAATATATGCTTAAGACTTAGTCACTTTTTCTGCACTTTTTTTTAATATGCATGTTTTAGTTACAGATCGATAGTTACAGATAGATTTACTATCAGACTATACATCTTGCATGTCAACAAGGTCCATAGGCTAAAAAAAGCATAGCTGATGGTGTTCTCTTTTCAGCATTACTTTGGGCTTGTTTTTTTCTTTTTAATGGATTTATGAATTAAAAGGGAGATTTTTTTTTCTTCCTTTTCAGATTTCTTCTTATAGGGAAAACTAGCTTCGTTTTAGTTCAATTTCACACTCAGTTTATTGCCTTAATTATCAAAATCTGTTAGTAATTTTAAGACAATATCAAAAACACTCGAAACATGGATGCTTTCACATTACTGAATGCACCAAATACCTGTTAGTATGGCAAAACTTCCATTCACTTTCGAAAATTCGTACTGCACCTTTAATGCTTGTTGCTGGCTCTAGATGAAGAGCTCTTCAACAGTATGTCTCAAATTGCCTTCAGTGTTTTCTCAGCTCTCAGTCTGATATAAGTCAATTATCATTTTGAAAAGGCTGAAGCTTTTTTTATAAAGCCGTTACCATCTAAATACAGTTTGTAAAATCTTACTGCTGTCTATCCAGCTGATTAAAATGTTTTGTCATATTTTTTGCATTGAGGCTACTTACACTATCACACAGGAGGCTCTTATTTTTGGTGCCTGTTGCATAACAGTCACAGGGTTTGCAAACATCGACGGCTGCAAGATCTGCACCTGCTTGTCTGTAATGGAAATCCTTGCACAGCTCACAGTTCCTTCCTGCATGAAAGAAAGGTTATGCATTATGGCTTCCAATTCATTAAAATTAGCTGTATAATTCAAAATTAAAGACTCTATTCCTTTGAGAGAATTCTATAATTTTCAGGACGTCCATTTTAATGCACCTTTCATCTCTACCTGCCAATTTAGTGATCCAGAGCATATGAAACAATGAACCTGTTACAAACTATGTTTTACTCCATTAAACTTCCATCTGTTATATAATACCACACTTATATAAAAGCTCTGCCATTCAAATACCTATACATTTTTCGGAAAAATTGTCGTTGAACCTGAAACTTTTCTTTTTTCCCTTTACTAGACAAAGCCAAAAAAAATTAAATAGAACTGTTAAGAAAGGTATTCAAATATACTACTTACCCAGAACAGAAACCTTTACTCAGGAAGCAAGAAACTGACATTACAGCAAAATTTGACAATGTTTTTTAATAGGTTATCTCTTAAACTGGTTCAATTAGAGAGACTTGATATTCTGCATTGAAATGCTCTAGCACATATAATAGAGACAGCTTTGAAACTATACATTCTAATTATCTCTCAGAATGTATTTTGCATGGAAGATTTTATACAAGATTAGATCAAATTTTAGCAGTATTTTCTTGTAGCTTAAGTAGTGACACAATTGTAATTACCGCACTATCTGGATAGCTTAAAAATAGATATACATGAGAATTTATTAGAATGGCAGCCACTGAGCATTACTAATTTCAGCTGATAACAAGACTCTACCCAAAAACTGGCTGCAAAACAAACAGTCCATTCTCTTTTGTACAACCTACCGGCTGTGTTGTGTTCACAGTTATCACACACTCCACCGCTGCCTCTGTAGTGTTCCTGAGGGAAAGGGTCCATTGCTAAGTCATAGTGGCAGCTTACTGCATGGCTGTAACACTGACAAGGTTTGCAGTTGTGGGCATGAACTTGGTCACCTGGGCGAAAAGGCTTGTCATTGTACAACGGCAAACAGCGATCACACTGGAATTAAAAAAAAACCCATTATATTCTATATTCATGTTTTGTTCTATGAGTTTTTCCCCCATTTAGGTATAAATAATATTTTTCTTAGACAAGAAGTGAGAAAGCATATAGGGAAATAATTGTTGTTGGTTTATCTTTTTTGTTGGGTTTTGGTTTGTTGTTTTTTTTTAATCTCCTTAATTAAAATCAAGGAAGGTGGAGAAAAGAATAACATTTTAAGTATTCAGATATTCAACCCAGACTAATGTCCTGAGATTCAAATTTACTTAAAACTATAAAGGTGCAAAATGGTGCTTGCTGTGTTTGAGGCACAGAAGACATATTTACCTGATGCATCCATTTGGATATATTTTAAACAATGTCTGTAGTTGTAGTTTGTAGTAAACATTTGATCTTGGGAATGAAACAAAAGGCCTTCTATGGCCAAATACATGACACTGTACAGAATATCTGAAATAGTAGCACTTCTTAATGTGCATTTACCTCATGAAATTTTCAAGAAAGAAATTTCAAACAAAAAAATGTCAGTCTCTACACATTCAACTCTGTCAAGTTATATCTTAAATATGACACCAATGCAATACTACGATACCAGGTACATTGTTTGAAGAAGCACCTAAAGCAATGATGTTGTTTTCTTAATTATTTTTAAATTTATCTGATACAAAGACTAATGATATTCAAGTACATTCTTAGCTTAAATCCAAACCAGTAAAAAGATTTTTTTTTAGTAGTCCAGGAGCTCCTCCGAAGCTCATTTTTTATTTGGATGAACTCACCATATTACCTTCTAATTAGAGCTTTGTGAAGTTGGACTAAACTTCAGTTCATAACAGACTCTACAAAACTTCAAGGGGAAAGTTTACTGTGCCTACTTGTTCATCAAGAACTAAAAAAAAATTGGATTTCTTGAAGTTAATGAATGGGTAGCATCTTGGACAGTTAACATTTTCCTTATGTTGAACAATCCAACTAGTTTTTATGAAATTGGCTCAAAGAACTGTACATGTTGGCACTAGAGAAATGCTTGTTTTGAATACCTTTTTTCATTTAACTGGCATTATTAAAAGTCCGTTCCCAAAATTCTGATTCCTTGCTGGATTTAAGAAATAAAATATATCACAATTATAATTTCCATCTTTCAGAATGGATCTAAATGTTTCAAAACACGCAGCTTTCTGTAAAGTATTTGGACAACTTCTTTCTTCTTAGTTTACAAAAGTACACTCTTTGTTCATATTTACTATTCTAAGCACTATTATAATTATTTAGGTCCAGTGTGCCTACCTCCCCTAGAGGCTGATCATTAGGAAACTATACTGAAGTTTCTAAACTGTTTCACTCACAGCTGATGCAGGGAAAGCATCAACTGTGGGTAAAATGAGAAACTGAATTAGAAAACATAAGCTTAAGGTAGTCTAAGAATTATGGAGCAGTCACAAATCAGTCACAAATACAACCTGGCAGATAAAATGAAAGCAGGAGAATTTATCTGCTTTAATTTATTTTTAATAAATTAAATTAACAGTAAGAGGTTAGATAAGAATAGCCAATGTATTTTTTTTTGCAATCTGTTAAAATATAAACAACAACAACAACAAAAAATCACACCATCACCACATTGAGAGAAAAAGGAGGTTTCAGGACGAAAATTAGCAGGGCTTCACTTGAGAGATTGAGCTCTTGTTTATCAGAAGAGTCACTTTCTAACTGTGATTAGCCCAGTTTAAGTACACCGAGGGAATGCCTTGACCATCACTGTTACACAAGTTACACAGCTTAAACTTATTTAAGTCCTTCCCTCATTCATATCCAACTTTCCTCTCTCCAGTCACTTCTTTTGTCTCTACATTGAGGAAAATTGGCATTACACAGCACAAGCGATGTGAGACAAGAGTGTTCATTCAGCTATTGCATAACTTCGGAAGCACAGGAAAGGAACCCAAGCTCCCAGCTAAACTATCCCACTCATGCAGGTTCCTTATCTTAGCATGTCCATGGAAATACATCCTCTTTGAAAGGAAAACAGTATAGGAATAGCTACCAACCTGCCAGCCCTGAATCTCCATTTGTGTACGGCCGGACACATAGGTTCTGAAAGCATTCATCACTGCATTACAGATTCAATCTTAGAGCAGTTGCTCATGCACAACTGTGCTTGCACCTATTGCTAAATGACACACAAGCACTAAGGAGTAAGAGATAGTATTTGATGGCATAGCACAGAGCCTCTTTGAACTACCATGTCTCTTGTTCTTTGATTTTTAAAACTCTGATAAAACTTTTCAAAAGCCTTGGCAAAAAAGTAGTCATTCAAAAGCTGGCAATGACTGTGAAACGATTGCTGTTCTAGTAATTCTCACAGCTGTATGCATTAAAAATGTGTACTGGACCCCCACCTCATCCTGCTGAGTTTGTCACACTTTTCTTGGGTTAAGAATTGCATTTAACTTCCAGACCTGCTGTGTTTAGCTTTCCCTTTGGTAACAAAATTATGTACATTCAGTAATTGTCAGGTTTTCATTCACCAGATGTAAGCTCTGCATTTGTCCAAGGCATAGTTGTTGAGATTTTCAAAGGTATTGAGAGATTCAGGCTTGAATTCTTGGCCACCATGTATAAAATGGATCAGTACATTCCCAAAAAGCCCTTGAGGAAATCTGAACAAGGTCTACAAAATGTTAATTCTTGACAAAACAAGCCTTTCTACATAACCATAAAGCCCCCAGACATGCAGATGTTCATATTCTCAGTTACATCTAGGCCCCTCAGAAAAGATGTTAAGTATATGGCTTTCCCTATGGACATCAACAAACGTGTTCCCTTGATATATAGTATCTGAACTGCTCACCTTCTGTGATTACAGTTTTCTGAAAAAACATTACATGAAGCCAGATGGTCAAAATACCTAGCTCATCCTGGCCCAAATCATTAGACTAAAATTATGATTTAAAACTAATTTCCAATAATGAATGCAGGACTTGTTTTGCTAATTAATAAAAACTTACCTTCTCAAAATTCCTGAATCCAGAACACTTACGGAAAGATCCCCAGTGACTTCAGCCTAAGCCTTTATGTGCCAAGTTCCTTATTAGTCACTAAGAATGCTGAGGACAGTGCCTCTGAAGAAACAGTCAACAAATATTCAAGTAAATACTTCAGAAGGCAGCTGTAACAGTGCTTTAAGACTTCCAATAATTTGTGATCAACTAGAACTTACTACTCCAACATTTGTTAAATATCCCACTGCTTGCCTCTGGGTGGCATCCTTTTTTTTTTTTTTTTTAATGTTATCTTATGTAGAATTAATTAAATCTTTCTTTTCCTGACCTCTGTAGCAGTTCACATCTAACACTCATAAGTCACAGCTCAGTTGCAGTAAATAGTGTACATACACACCTATATAATATGTATGCTTCTATTATATATATATATATATGCTATTAACGCTACACAGGTTTAAAAATCTGCTGAAGTGAGATCAAAACCAGAATGCCACCTCCTCAGGCATTTTGAAATGCTTTCTTGGCTTTGAAAAACTCCATAATGTGTATCACCAAATCATGTTTGTTCATGATGCCTTTTAAAGTGTGGATTATAATAAGAGAGTTAATCACATCTTGGTTTTCCTTTCCTACATGACCCTAGTCTGTACCCAAATGGACAGCATTCTTTCACACCACTTAACTTCATTAGTCAAATAAAGACAGCTTCTAGGCAATATCTATTCCAGTGTAGCTTAGCCCTGCTCTGAAGACACTCGCCTTAATTTCCTCACGGCTTTTCCTCAGCACCCTCACTATAGCACCTGACTATCAAAACCACATGTTAGCAGAACTTTGAAACATGTCTTTCTCTTATGAACTCCTCAAAGACCAAAGAGGTTTTAAACTCAAAAGCCAGCATTTACTAAGGAAAAGAAAAAAAAAGCTAGAACACTAAGTGACTCCAAGTGACTATGGAAGACAGAATAGAAGTGAAGTCTTATCACGTTCGAGCATAACACTCAACGTACCTTAAAAGGATGCAACATAATTTTAGAAACAAAGCACAGCTGTAACAGATGGTTTACAGATACCGTATGCCAAATAGCGTTCTAAGAAAAGATACTACTGCTGCTTTGCAATGGCAAAGTGACTGACAAACAACCTGACTGGCAAAGAATGTAAGATCTACCATTCTGAATGCCAGGTTCCAATAATGGGGCACAACTGAGGTATCAAACTCTGGTGCAGATGCTGTCAGGCAGCGTAAGATGTATTTCTACTCTACTCCTCTTTCATTTATGCTCTTTTTGGTGAAGTTAAATGAAGCCACAGCAAGTCATACAAAAATCAAAGTGTATTCAAATATACTATTTCTGACAATCAGGCTGCTCAAAAAATTGATTCACTCTTCAGGATTAAAATTCAAAGATATTTGAAAATCAGGTATCCCTCCATCAAACTTATTTAGACTCCAATCCTATAGAACTTCTGTAAAATAAAAGAGAGGGAGAAGGTATGTTTTACAGCTGATGAGTTTGGCATGTGTTCTGTTTTACCAAAGCTCTGACTTGTTCAGGATATTCAACTGTAAGAGACATTGTGTATGGTTTTCCCCTCTCTCTACCTTGTCTATTTGGAATAAACCTTTGAGTTTTATTCACCTGTAACACTACAGAGTGCTGTAGCCACAGTTACTAGGTATTTAAGGGTTAATTTCACTCTTCTGAGGAAGCTATTGCATGGAATACTTTTTTTGATCATAGTTTTAGTGGGGTAAAAGAAAAAAAATCAGATTGGCTAATCATTTGGACACATATAGAACATGTGAAGAATCACAGGAATTCAATAAATTTATGTGGCACTACAATTTACAACAGTTACTTCCAACAACAGTGAAGCACCAGCCCCGCTGTGTCTGTTTTATTTCACATTAAATGAAATAAATATCCTGCACAGTGAATAAGCTGCTGAAAATAATTTTCAGACTGGAAACACCTTCCTAAGTTCTGAGAGGTAACAATGACAGCCACAATGCCAGTTGCCATCTGCCCACCACTTAGGTAAAACTTACAAACATCAGATCAAAATGTATAAGGGATAATGACCACCTTTTACAATTCCTTCCACCCATCATCAACTGTGAAACACGTCATGATGTATCTGAGACTACAACCAGTTCTTTCAGTATTTCGGAATGCCTGGACACGTTTTAGAGGCCTGGATCTTTGAACTGTGAAGTTATACCAGTTTTCCAGAGATGGATTCATGGACAAACTCATAACTTCCACAGACATATCAAAAGTTATTTAAAATTTTCAGGCATGTAAGACTGGACTAGGTGCCTTTCTGACTGCTGTTTCCTAAAACTCCAGTCAACCATCTGCCTGCTCGATTTCCTTTCTTTTTATTTGGATATAACCAGCTCCTGCCAGGTCTATCCTCTGGATACACAAATTATGGCACAGAGCTTACCAAAACTGTATGTTTTGCTAGCTTGCTTGCTTTGCAAGCTAGAAGTCTTAATTATTGAGTGACCACTTACTACAGTTAATATTTACAACTCCATAGATACTATGTATCACTAATTCCAACATCTAACATCATGATACAGATTGACCTTTAAAGAAGACTTAGATAGAGTCTTCTGTAACAACATAAAAAGTGTTATTTATCAAACTCTTGGTAAATCAACAATGTCATATCCAGTTTTCAGGCAGTCGAGGTGTAAGACCATTAATTGCACAGAAACTCTGCAGACCTGTATTTACCGTATCCAGTCACACTCTCACCTACAGTCATACCCACTCAAGCATTTACTAGAGTTGCTTTATATATTTTAAATTCTATATTCCATTATTAACATTTCTACAAGTATTCCAGTATGTTTTACCATTATCTTTCCCT